TCTGCGATTCCCAAATACCATAAATTTAGTTTTATCCAAATTCAGAGATACTATATTACTGTCACACCATTTCTTTATCTTCTCAAGTTCCTGTGAAACCCGTCCAGAGAGTTGCTGTAGGTTTTCACCCGATGCCCATATGGTAGTGTCATCAGCAAACAAAACCACTTTCACTAAATCAAAACCACTTTCACTAAAGCTTTAATCTGGATCAAATCCTCAAAACAAAAGCACAGGTTTGGGATCAGTTTAAACTAATAAATCGGAAACAACACCGATCTCACCTGAAGGGTGGGTTTCTAGTGGAGCAAAATGTACTGGGCATTTCATTTACATATAATTTTCAATATAAAAAAGATAGTAATGTTTGTAAATGGAAATAATACATCAGTTGTAGCCTTTATATGGTTCATACGTTTTTATTTATCTTTGCCACATTTGCTTTGGCCTCTTGCAGACCTCTCAGAACTGTGTTCAGCCAAATGTGTTTGTAATCATAAAATGATCTCAACAAAAGTTATGCCAAATGGAAATGACATCTTGAATTGCACGACCACTCAGTTTCATTCAGAGGCAAGTCTACAGGTGGATAAGGATTATGAGGATTATTATTTATTTTTATTGCAGTTCTGTTATTTTAAGCAAGTGTTATGTACTTGGAAAATATTATTTCTTCTCAACAAAATGGCTCTGAACTGCCACACGGTCTGTCTTATGTTGTTATTCACATCACCAAGGTGTGAATAAGCAGGATAAAAAGCCTGTTATTCCAGATCTAGTCATCTGGAAAGTCTGAATCTGGATCAGGGCCATCTTATCTTGTATTGCTTTGAAATACCAGGACAAAATCTGGCTGGGTTGTCTGATCCTGGATCACTAAATTTTGGATTTGCAAATCTGACTGAGAATAAAATGTTTGAACTCCTGGGCCCAGATGCTGACCTGTCCCACAGATGACTCACCCTTCATTTGTGTTGTAGACACAATGTTTTTCAGTAATTTGTGTTTTTGTGTCGTACTACAGATGAACAGGCGCTGAAGCAACTGATAATTTAATTTAGTGTTTTCTGAAACAAGGTAAAGGAACTCACTCCCATTTTGAGAGGCGCTACAAGGCCATAAATAAACGTAACTGAAAAAATGGTGAACCCAGTTGCTGTGTTAAAGGAGCCTGGCATCTGCTGCATTGACCTGGTTTTTATGTTCAACCACAGTTGAACAAAAGTAACAGAAAACAAAATATTAGTAATTTGTCACAGTAGGAGAAATATGAGTGAGGTATGAAATGTCTCTTGTAACAAGATGCACAGAACAATTTACCAAACATAAAAACTTAGAGTGCCCATGGCATGCTCATTTTACTCGTTTCCAGCCATTTAAAAGGCCAACGGTGCTTTTCCTTGTTTTCTGACTTATCTACAATGTTATAACGGCGAATTATCATGTTAGACTTGACCTAACGCTAAAAAAATGAGGTGTATGTTCTAGTTTTTCTATGCAGAAGCAACTTCGTTTATACCTGTCTCACAAACTCTCGCTCACAAGACTTTTTTTCTAACAAAATAATGTCTTGCGTGATAGTTTAAGGATCTCCTTGAATGGTCATAATCTCCACCCCCTTTCACATTCATGTGAGCTTACCTGATATCCACTGGTGCCCCCACCCTACTGACAAAATGTTATACTGCCTTGTTTATGTATATTTTCAATAAAGCTTATTTAAAAAAAAAAAAAAAGATGACATTCACGGTGCTATTGTAAAAGCAGAATTTTTCGACTGCGCCTGGTTTTGTGGATATATTTTCCTTCCTGCTGCTGCACTGTGACCAGAGGATGTGGAGAAAAATACAGGGCCTGAGGTTACTGCATGTCCGGGAATGTTCCTGTATAGGGATTCACAGTTTTACCTGACTGGGTCTAACTTACAAGCAGCCGCCTGTGAAGCCCCTGCAATGGTGAATGATCAGCTCATCAATGCTGGATTTGTTAGATCCACTCGAACACAGAGGTGAGCGAGTCGAAAAAAAGGACGGACCCAGGTGGCAAGTAGTGCTCAGTTTATTTACAGTGATATTTTACAAGGAAGTGAATAACCAGGTTGAAGTGGGACCGGGTGTCGAGTCGCAGAAGGTGAATAACAGTCAGTGGTGGAATGATGAGGGAAAGGCCGGGCTGCGGACACTGGGACTCACTCCTGGACTGGTCGGGTTTGATGCAACTGAAGATAAACAGAAACAGTACATACGGTGAGTTGTAGACTGTGCGCTAGGGCGACAAAAACGTGAGTACAATATAAAGCTAAGAACAACGAGAAACAAACGGGCCTGATGATACTAGAAAGAACTGGCAGGGGAGTGAACGTAGAGCAGGGAATAAATAGGGAGAACTAATCAGGTGCAGCTGGTGGTAATCAGGGGACATGAAGCAGGTGTGTCGGATAACGTAATCAAGGTAAGGGAGCAAAAACAGAGTGAGGGAAGTGAGAAAGGCAGGTGCAGCCGGGCAAACCTGACAGGATTCCCCTGGAGCACAGTACCTGTTTGTCCTGACTGCCTGCAGCAGTTAACCAGCAACAATTCACATGTGGCAGACAAATGTGTCTGCCACATGTGATGTGCTGCTGGTTAACCCGTGGATTAACAACCCATGATGTTATTGTTGGTGCTATACTACCTGTTGAAATTATTTTCACTACTTTGGGACTGTATGTGGCCGTGTGGGGCAAGACACAGCGACCGCCGGTTGGATTTACTGACACCCGTGGATTAACAACCCATGATGTTATTGTTGGTGCTATACTACCTGTTGAAATTATACACTACTCAGTGGAACTTAACTTAGTTTAACAAACACAGGTTGTGTGTCTGTTAATGCCTTGTTTCTGTAAAGTTAGAGAGAATTGTTGTAAGGCTGGAGAAGTTACTGTCTGCATTATGCCAGTTAAAACATGGGGTTTCTCAGTTAGCCGCTTTGTTTAGAGTGTTACACATCTATTTTCATTGGTACATATACCATTGTTTAACTATCTATGGAGGAGACATTCAAATAATTAAATATTACTATTAAATATATACTAAATATATTAAATGTATACAATAAAATATTTATTTTTCTTTCTAACACTTGTATGTTGATTTGCTTCACTGGTGTACATAATCTGATATACTGTGATCTGTTTTGTGGGGAACAGTCTGAGCACGTCTTGCTGTGTTCAGTTGGGAAGGCTGTCAAAATGGATTGTGCCTTGGGATAAATAAACTTTTCTGATTCAGATTCTAAAACAGGCCAAGGGGCCACTTTAAACCCAAAGAAATCAGTACAGCTCAATAGTAACAGGAATGAATATATAAATCTACTGTACATATGCAGATGACACCACCATTCTTGGCCTCATCGAGGGGGGAGATGAGTCAGACTACAGAAGCTTGGTGAACAACATTCTTCTTTATGGAGAGGAGAAAAACCTCATCCTCAACATAAACAAGACAAACGAAATAATAATAATAGACCCCTCCCCTCTGCTGCCTCTGACTATCAAAGGGACTGAGGTGGAGAGGGTTGACAGCCACAAGTTCCTGGGCTTGCAGGTGACATCTGACCTGAGCTGGTCACTGACACAGCTGCCACAGTGAAGAAAGCCCAGCAGCAGCTATACTTCATCAGGTGGCTCAGAAAAGCTGGTCTGAACTGTCGCCCTCTCATCCAGCCTTACAGAGGACTGGTAGAGAGCATCCTTACTACTGGCATCACAGTCTGATATGGTAACACCACACAGGCAGAGAGGACAGCTCTTCAAAGGGTCATAAAGACTGCAGAGAGGATTCATTGGGACTGAACTGCCTGCTATGGACACACTATACACACAGAGCTGTCGTAAAAGGGCAGAAAACATAATCAGGGATCCACGCCACCCAGCTCACACTCTGCTCAGACACAAAAACTGCACCTACAGCCTCAGTATCATCACACACAGAACTAGACTTTACAACAGCTTTTTCCTGTTGCCTTTATGTAACTTTTTTTTAAATTTTAAGACCAAGTGTTCTTTCTGGCTTTTGACTCCTTACCTGACTCCAAAGGAGAGCTGCTCGAGCGTTCCTATATGCCTAGACTGTCTGTTTATGCATAAATGACAAATAAAAATCTTGAATTTTGAATAAATTGTACAGTAATACCATTTCACAGTGAATGTCACTGAGTGGGAATTGGGTCAGAGTTGGAGCAAACCTCTGAAGGAAATCTTTTGATGGGAGTCCAAATATGAGGACATTGTCAGTTACAGAATAATTAGTCGGGAGTTTCCCTTTAATTTTCTCAATAACTACAAAGTAATATTATTTCATATTCTGTGTGATCATAGTCAAGGTCGTCCTGAGCACGAATCCATAGACTTTGGGCAAACCCCTCAAGGAAACGTACAGTAAAGTGTCTTCAGTTTTCACACTGCAGTAGTCACTCAACCATATTATCTGTATAATTCCATTGGTATTATTTGTCCATTGGTGTTTTCAAGAAGCCCAAATACACACACAGCGGGATGGGAAATAATAGAATGCGTTTGATGTCTTCAATTTTAGAATTAATTGACATTAAGTTGCTTAAACCGCCAGCCAGATTATTTAAACGTCCATTTCAATCGCCCCCAGCACCTCTACCGTAATGACAAAAAGACGCGCAAAAAAAAAGAACCGCAGCTCACATGACCGGATTTTTGTAATGGACGGCTCTTGACTGCAGTGAGTAAACAACAGTAACGTGCCGGTGTTTCAGCTGCCGCTCAGCTCAAACAGCTTTGTTAAAATGTGTTTGTTATATTTCCGGTGGCGTCCCATGACGCCACTAAAGCGTGACCGCACTGTAGTTTACAGAGCGACGTTGTTAAAGTTGATGTGCGCGCGGCTGGACTACAGTACCCAGAGTGCACCGCGACCCGCAGACTAAATTTCACATGACGTTTGAAGGATGATCGGTAAGTTTTGTTGTGGTTTTACCCAGTTCTGTTTAAGCTGTATGACAGACGGTTTAATCGGTAACTGTCTTATTTAATTTACTGTAGTAAATAAAAAGTACCAAAGTATCATCAACATAGTTAGAGTAGCCTATCAGCCGTACGGTAACGTTACAAAAGTATTCTCAGCTTCTTGTAGTATCTGCAGTAAAAGTCTCCTGTGGCTGAAGTATATGTGCCCAAAATTACAGTCAAGTATTGTAATCAGTGTGGTAACTCTGCCTGTACTTGTGTGTGTCCTCAGTGTTTGTGCGGTACAACCTAGGGCCAGGTGTGGCCGTGGAGCTGCGGGAGGAGGCGAGTGTGGCCGAGCTGAAGAAGGTGGTGGGGAGTCAGCAGGGAGTCCAACCTGAGAACCTCAGGGTGCTGTTCGCTGGGAGGGAGCTGCCCCATACCGCCACGCTGCAGGTAGGCCCAAAGTCAGTTCAAGAAAAGTATCTTGTTATAATGAGAATGGCTTCTCGTTAGTTTTGAGAGTGCACTAAACACGTTTTGTGCTATTCAGTTTGCAAATCAGAATTTGAGAGCATGCGGCCTTGGATTTGTAAGAGCAGAATGGGATCTGAGTGTGGGAAGTCAGAGCTGACAGCATAACGGATTATATGAGCAAACAGCAGGGATCCGTCCTCGCTCTCGGATCTGGTCCTGTTCTTACAAATCCATGCCTGCCGCTCTCAAATTCTGATTTGCAAACCGAAGAGCACTTGCAACTTGTTTTGTGTGCTTTCTAAACTTTTGCAGCAGACAGACTTTTACATAAAACCCAGTAGAGAAATCAGAAACAAATACATGCATGTGTGGGATTACGGTCTCAAATCAGATTCTGCATGCAGATGGACTCATACTTGTATAGTAGTTTTCTGTGCATTGCAGCACACTCAAAGAATAGAACAGAATGGCTTTATTTGTCATTGCACAAATGTCTTCATAGGCCTATAGCACCTCCCTGATGGCAGGAGGGTGGACAGGTGCTTCCCAGGGTGAAAGGGGTCTTTGATTATTTGTTTATGTCTGTGAGAGAGGAAAGTGGAGTCCTTATGATATCCTCAGCTGATTTAATCACTTCCTGTAGGCCAGAGTGCAGCCTGTGAACCACACCAGGTTGTCATGGGATCTGATGCTCTCTGCAGAGCATTTGTAGGACAAGTGAGGTGGTGTTGATTGTCCATGTGAGGTCCTGAGAGATGTGTCCCCAGAAATTTCAAGTTGGTGACCCGCTCTGCCATGTCTCCTTTAAAGTAAATAGGAGCAGGTTCCTCCCTCTTCCTCCAGAAATCAGTAACCAGTTCTTCGGTTTTGGAGGGGTTTAGCCGGCTTGTTTTCGGAGTGCCATACTGGCAGTTTTCGGACTTCATCTCTGTAGGCTGACTCGTCGTTGTTCTGGGTCAGTCCCACTACTGTAGTGTTGTCCGCAAATTTGACGATTGTGTTATGGATTGGTGTACAGTCATGGGTGTGTAAGGTGTAAAGCAGAGGGCTCAACACACAGTCCTGGGGGGCTCCAGTGCTGAGAGTCAGGACTGAGGAGTGATGGGACCCCAGCCTCACTTGGGCCACGTTCACACTGCAGGCTGAAGTGGCTCAAATCCGATCTTTTTGCCCAAATGTGACCCATATCCGATTTCCTTATGACGGTGTGAACAGCACAAATCCGATTTTTTCAAATCCGGCCCAGGCCACTTTTATATGTGGTCCTAAATTGGATACATATCCGATGTTTTGCAATGAAACTTCAGTCTTAACGGCCATGTCGCATTTCATGCGATTTTCATGTCATTGAAATGCGACAGACGTCACAATTCTGCTGGAGGAGGCGAGGCCATAAGCAATATTTGTGCTCTCCTCCTCCTTGATGTTCTTCTTATTATTATTTCTTTATTTTGATTCCACATTAACTGGTACATCACTACGCACATGCTATCACGAGCCGCATCCATTTTTTGTTATGGTTCGGTCCCTCACCAGGGGGCGAGAGAGTAAAAATGAGGGCTCAATGTGCAAGCTCAGGTGCTAGCAAAGTAGTATCTTTATTGCAAATAACAATAAAGTGATAAACAGATAAGTCAATGGATTAATGCATAGTCCAAACCAGAGCTGAGCAATGAAGATGAAGACCAGGACTGGCAGGCAAGCATATAGGTGAATAGTAGGCACCAGGAAGACAGGTGGGTAGACCGGAGGGACACCGCAACCAGAAGGAGCAGTCGACCAGGTGGCAGGCTGGGTAACCCTCGCTGCCAGGCACACAGAGTGGCACTTGCCAAAAAACACACACCCAAAGCAGCACTCACCGTTTAACGTGCACTGTGCTGTTTGTTATCGTTATTGTGTTCAGCGTACAGCATTCAATATTCAGTGTACAATGATCTGGCCCTGCAGGAGTGTCTGCCAGGGCTTTAAGTAGGGAAGAGTCATGATCAGTGGAGACGAGCTGCAGCTGCGCACCACACCCAGTGAGCCAGTAATCAGGTGAATGCGACTCAGCTGAGTCGCTGAGCCCGCAGAACAAGAGCAGGAGAGAGAGAAAAGAAAAGAGAGGTAGGCAGCGCTGAGCAGACATCACATTTATTTTCGCAAACACAGTACGCTGCGTCTGACGTCACATCCTATTCTGCGCATGCGGGTCACCTCAGGGCCGTATACCGTTCACACGAGACAGATGGCAGTCGCATTTAAATGACAGTGTGAACAACAGCGCAAAAAATCGGATTTCGGCAAAAAAAAATCCGATCTGAGCATTAAGACCTGCAGTGTGAACACAGTCTTGTTGTAGGTGATCTGTTAAAAAGTCCTTAATCCCTCTGCATGTGAGCTGGTTGACACCCAGACCATGTAGTTGGGACACCAGTCTGCTGGGGATTCTGATATTAAATGCAGAACTGAAATCCACAAACAGCAAATCTCACATATGAGCCAGGATGTTCCAGTTGTTCACAGTCAGTATGGTATGGAGAGCAGTATTAAAGGCATCTCCTGTTGACTTCTTGGCACTATGTGCAAATTGGTATGGATCCAGAGCCAGAGGGAGAGAAGATTTCACTTTCACACTGTTTGCCCATTTACCCGTCCGCGTCCCCAACACATGATATCAATGGGAGCAACTTGGGGTTCAGTGTCAATTACAAAGACTGAAGGACATTTTGACATGTCGACTGGAGAAGCAGGGAAGCAAACCGCCAACCTCCTGCTTAGGAGGGGACCTGCTCTACCTCTTGTAATTTGTGCAGCCTCAAACAATGTGGCAGGGATTTACTTCCATACCTCTGTCCCAGTGACATGTTGTAGTTTCTGTAATAAGGTGTTCAGTGGTGTCAAATGTAACACAGATCTAGGGGCACACATATAGAGATCAGGGTTTTCTCTACCATAGAAGGGCTTAGGCTCAGCACCTAAGTGTTTCTGCAGAGCCTCTAAGCCAAATGAGTGTAAAAGGGCGACATATCAGAATGAATGAAAAACAGTGGTGAGTTATATGGGCTGAAAAATAACTGATGTTAGGTATTTTTAGTCAGATAGAAATTGGTTAGATACTTTATGTATTAGAAATGTTTAGTGGAGATAGGATGTCTAGTTAGACTGTTAAATGCTTAGTCATGCTTATGAGTTTCTACAGGGTACATCTGGTCAAGGATAACTAGAGAGAAGAGTTGATGACTGTCAGCAGACAGGGTGTTTAATATTATTATTATGACGTGTATAACTGTAGCCTTAGCCATAATATGTTCTTATGTTTAAGTCATGACATGTTACTAGAGGTCGTGAGAATGTTTTTAGCTACACACCACTTAATCAACAGACACACACACATTGATTTGCTTCATGTTTTGACTACTGTTATGACCAGCTGCAAAGCTGGCAACAGAGACGTCTCGGTTGACGTTTCTGTGTAGTATGGGGCTAGCCCAACCGAGGTGATATAATGTATAGGCCTGGTGGGTTCAGGGTCTTTCATCTTACATCTGCCTGCGAGCAGTTTGGAGGTGCAAGATACCTGAGCGTGTAATGTTAATTTTACCTGTGATCCTTTGAATAAATCAGCACTGTTTTGAAGTTACTTGGACTGCCTCGTCTCTCAGAGTTAGCAATGGTAACAAGAACCGCAGACCAACACCGAGAAGTGACTTGATCTCAAAACTAAACGTAATCTGCAACAGCTTGTGTTGCATGCACTAATGCTAACTCCGTGACTGAAATTGATGACAGGACAAAATGAAACTTGCTGTTGTCAGGTTTGTGACCTCGCTGCAGCCAGTGGAGAAACAGGCAACACGCCGGCTGCTGTTAGCCGAAGATTGTTAGAGGTAAAGAGGCACCGCTCTAACAGCACTGAATGATTAGAGTCAACCGAGCGCTTCTCTGTTGTTCCAACAACTCCAACAGAGTGAGACGTCTTCACTGGTAAAACTATCAGCTGATCTCGTATCAATGATTGTGATGTAACACGTTCTGCAGGACGGTGTACACGCAAATGGTTTTGAAGAACCATCATGTGTCCATCTTTTACATAATATTACAGGAGGAGATCGCTGGTGACTAAAACCTGACTGAAAATCCTCAAACAAATCATTCTTGTGCAAGTGGTCACATAACTCCTTTTTCAAGGATTTTGGAAATAAATGGGAGATTGGATATTGGTCTATAATTAGCTAGGACACCTGGGTCAAGAGTAGGCTTTTTGAGTAGAGGTTTAATTACTGCAACTTTAAAAGCCTGTGGAACATAACCTGTTAATAGAGAGAGGTTAATCAGATCTAGTATGGATGTGCTGATTAGGGGAAAGACGTCTTTGAGCAGCCTGGTCGGGATGGGGTCCAGGAGACATGTTGATGATTTAGATGAAGCAATTGTTGAGGTCAACTCAGAGAGATCTATAGGGGAGAAGTAGTCCAAGTATAAATGAGGTCTCACTGATGTTTCTAAAGCCATTGTAGTAGATGGCACATCTGCAAGAGCTGTGGGAGTGGTCCGACCAATTTTTTCTCTAATAGTTGTGATTTTATTTGTAAAGAAGCTCATGAAGTCATTGCTGCTGAGATCTAAGGGAATGTTAAGCTCAACAGCACTGTGGCTCTTTGTCAGCCTGGCTACAGTGCTGAAAAGAAACCTGGGGTTGTTCTTATTTTCCTCAATCAGTGATGAATAAAATGTGGTTCTGGCACTATGAAGGGCTTTCTTATATGTTATTAAACTATCTTTCCAGGCTATGAAAAACTCTTCTGACTTAGTGGAGCGCCACCTCCTTTCCATTTTTCCAGGATCAAGAGTGTGATTAAAACAGTGAGTGGGTTTATTTACAGTTTGAGAGAAGCCAACTGAGTCTAATAATGAACAGAATGCATTGTTGAGGTTGTCATTGTCAGCATCTACATGAATATTAGAAGTCGCCTACTATGATAGGTCAGGCTGCAGGTGACATCAGGTGTTGGGTGGGTGATAGAGGAGTCATCATCTCCTTATCCTGTCTCGTCAGGGGTGTGACCTCCCGGACCAGAGTACTGTCCATGTTGTCCTCCCTTCATCAGGCTCCTCCTCTCAGCCGCTCCTCCTGCAGGAGCGCTTGTCTTGGGGCAGGGAGGAGAAGCAGGACCGTCTGACCAGGTTGGATCTCAGCTCTTTCCGCCTCCCCTCCACCTTGACTGGCCTGGCCGTGGTCCTGGAAGGCAGCCATGTAGGAAGAGATGATGGAGGAGCACAAAGAGAGGAGGTGCAGGCCGCAGGTATGGCGGGTCGGTGTGTTATTATTCATACAACGTGTTTGTACTCCTGCCTGTAGCGTGTCGGTGCCCCTGTGGTGTGTCTGTAGTAGTACTCTGACTGTGTGTACTTGTGTGTACAGGGGTGCGTACCTGCAGTACTTTCTTTGTGTACTGTAAGAGCTGCAGGTCGGTGCAACCAGGGAAACTGCGAGTTCGCTGCAGAAGCTGCAAACAGATGACACTGACACTGAGCAGGGTGAGAGCGGTATTTATACTGCAGTAGCATAGCACAGTACTTTTACTGGCAGCACACAGTATTTATGTTTACTACATATGAAATGTGAAGTTGCCTTGCTGTTGTAATTAACTATTAGAGTCATACTAATGTTTGAAAGGATCATTTTGGGATGATTTTCCACTAAATGTAAACCTTCGTTAAACTCGGGAACAAAACATCATATTAAATGTCAGCGTGTCTCCTCTGTGAGGATGATGATGAAGGCTCATATGAGCCTCTCTGCATCTCAGGGTCCATCCTGTTGGGACGACGTCCTCCTCCCAGGTCGTATCCATGGTGTGTGTCAGTCAGACAGTTGTCATGGAAACGAAGCGGTAAGGGGCAAAACGTCTGTCTAACAATTAATCAATTAGTCGATCAGCAGAAATTTAATTAACAACTACTCTGGTAATAAAACAATAGTTTGATACATTTTTTAGGAAGACAAATAATTCACTGGTTCAATCTGAGAATTTGTTCAAATCCTTTTTAACTGTAAATTTGATGTTTGTGGTTTTACACTAACAAAGTCTGAGGACGTCACCTCAGGGTGTGGTTACAGCAGTTTTCTCCATTTTCTGCTGTTTTATTGACCACATGATGAATATGCAGCAGTTCTTCATGAAGTGTGCGTCCCATCCGACGACAGACAATGACCCCTCTGTGGCCCTCGACCTCATCATGAGCAACACCAGAGATGTGCCGTGCATCGCCTGCACCGATGTCATGTAACACAAACACACACACACACACACACACACACACACACACACACACACACACACACACACACACACACACACACACACACACACACAGGGTGTGTTACATTTCAGTCTGTCCTGCCCTGCTCTGATGATTTGTCTTCGGTCGAAGATGGAAAGTATCACTGCAGATAAAACTTCAGTTTCAGTTCAAATCCATATCATTTTGTTGGAATGGCCACATTCAGACACCAAGAGTAAAGTGAAAGGAAAAAATATATATAGAACTTAGTTTCTGAAAGTTTGAAAACAGCAGATTAAACTCTGTTTTTAAATGGAGTCATAGTTTTTAAACAGCAGCCAAAGTCTGCAGTAAAAAGAAGCAAAATGCTGAGTGCAGTCTGTGCCACTTATGAGAGAACCAGTAAGAAGAACAGAACCAAATGCTACTGACTGAAGGTAAATGAACATGAATATTTGGTACTTTAGTAATAATAAGTAAATAGAACAGTAAAAATGACAGTAATGAGGTCTGATTGTGTGAGAACACTCCATTGTTTGGTCTGCTGACTGATTATTGATGGTCCCTGCCTGTTCTTCAGGGATGTGGTGCTGGTCTTCCAGTGTCCCAAGCGTCATGTGATCTGTCTGGACTGTTTCCGTCGATACTGTGAGACACGACTGAACGAGCGACAGTTTGTGCATCATCCTGAGATCGGATACTCACTGCCCTGTGCAGGTGACACGATTCTGGTTTCTGCTTAGCTCAGTGCTTCTGAGTTTCACCTGAAATCTGTTCACACCTTTCTTTTTAAAATTATTTGTCATATTATTAAGCATACAGAACATACAACAGTGTGCCAGTGGAGCACAAAACTTGTTGACCATCTCGTTCTTTATGTAAGAATGTGAGGAGCATCTTTGTGAAGAGAACTTTTATCGAGACATTGGTTATTTGTTGTATATGTCCCATGTCAGATTTGGCACTAGACATCCTGGTGATACTCTGTCCTCTAGGGGTGTAAACAGAGTGATGTGGTGTATGCAATTAAGTGTAGTCAAGAGTGTAACGACTTGTACATTGGTGAAACTAAGCAGCCGCTTCACAAACAAGCAACGGAATCGAGTTGTGACAGACAGCCTGTCTACTCTAAACATTTCTAATACATCAAGTATCTAACCAATATCTATCTGACTAAAAATACCTAACAGGCCAAAGACACAACTTGTGTTCCATCTACAATCCTGATTTGAGATCTCTGCCCAAACATGCCCACCAGGACAATAGGCGTCTGACGACAGGGGAGGATTCATAGACAGGTAACGACTCTCACCGATACTGGGCTATAATGACTCAGTCATTAGGGGACATTGTTGGCCTTCAAAGGACTGAAACACCACCGAGGGGGATAAATATCTCCGGCTCAACACCAGTCAGTCAGAACTGATGAAGCCTCTTGGATGAGAGGTGAAACATCTTTGACCTCGAAATCTAAGTTTTTTCAGCAGTTCTCAAAAAGGTGTTTGTTGAACTGGAAGGTCATGTGGTCTGCATTTTGCACTCCACACCATCTGCAATCCGGACAGATGTGTCATTAGGGGATTGTGGACCTGTAGTCTGCGGTTTCTAGAGACTGTAGCATACTGTCGGATCTCTTGTCACCTCCACTGCACCTGATCCTGTTGTTGAGAGTAGCTACCTTGACTCCCCACACGCCGAGCCATGAAGATTCCAGGCAGCAGTGAGGTCTGAAAGCACCAAGAGAGCCAAGCCTCCAGCATCAGGGGTTGCTACTATTACTAGCTTTTAGAAGTGCTGTTTTGGTACTGCATCGTGATTTAAAACAGCAATACCATTATCGTTTATAAAAGCTTGCAACTGAATAAAAACACTCTTCTCAAAGACTTTTGAAAAGTATGGCAATTTGGAGACAAGTCTAAAATTTGACAACTGAAGGGTCAATACTTGTGGCTGGAAAAGTCCCCGTATTAATAAGGGGAAGAAAGCTTGGCCTGGCAGTCTCAAAACCTCCAACAGCCTATTGAGAGGACAGTATGAAGCCTTAACCTTCTGTCCCACCTCTGCAAGGAGCAAGAAAGATACAGGCTCATACTGGTCAAACCCAGCTGAGCACCGATACCAGGGCGGCTGGCTGTATCATTGATAAAAAAGTGAAGTGGCTGTAGACTCAGGGTGAGTTGTACTACATGGATTAATGACGGAGTTAATAGTGCAAAATAGATATCTGGGGCCTACTGTGGTTACTAGCTACTACATTAGAATGGTACTGTACTTTAGCAGTCTTCACGGCTTTCTGATCATCTGACAGGCAGATGAAACAAACGGTGCTGCTGCCTGACATCTGATGTTATGGAGTCAGACTTCTGGGCTTCACATCCGGATTATTGAAGAGTAGAAACTGCTAGACAGTAAAATCCTGTGTGTGTTTCTCCCTGTAGCCGGCTGCATCGACTCTCTGATCAAAGAGCTGCATCACTTCAGGGTTTTAGGAGACGAGCAGGTGAGGGACAGGATCACTGACTATATATCTTTATTTCACCCAGAGTTCACCCTAACACGCTCTCTCTCTCACTCAGTATGGGCGGTACCTACAGTACGGGGCCGAGGAATGCCTGCTGACTATCGGAGGACTAATGTGTCCATCACCTGGCTGTGGGGCGGGGCTTCTCCCACCTGATGGCAGCAGGAGGGTGCAGTGTGACAAACAGGTGGGCTGTGGTTTCGTCTTCTGCAGAGACTGCAGGGAGGGCTACCACGAGGGGGCATGTCAACCACAGCAACCCCTGCCCTCAGGTGAGGCTTCACAGGTAAGCTGACCAATCACAGAGCTCCATCAAGACTCGGAACAAAGAGAAATAAACAAGTAGATAGAATAAAGACAAGTGTAACACTCTCCTAGTGTGTACGTATTATCTATTATCCTTCTGTAACTATGGTACAGTGAACTATCTATACCAGTAAGACCAGTACAAAGGAAAGCCTTTGGACCAGATCAGAATCATCCAGGTTCGTAGGAGCCAAGAGGGGGATAACCACAGTGAAATAATCAACACCGCTTGTAGTAAGGTAGTTGAATTTACTGCTATTGTAGTAAATGGGTGTAAATTTCACATTCACTGAGAAAAATACATTAACCAAGGGAGAGCGCTCATACCAAACCAAAAATAAAGAAAACAAGTTCAGTCCTTCTCCAGTACATACAAAGTCTGTTCAAGTCAGAATCAGAATCAGTTTATTGGCCAGGTGTGTTGGACACACGAGGAATTTGACTCAGGTACATCGGCTCTCAATGTGCAAACAGTAAACCAGCATAAGGCTGTGTAATATAACAAAAATAGCAGTATTAACATCAACAAACAGTGCAAACAATGCAGAAAAAGCAGTATAAACAGACAGTAAACAATGCAGACAACAAAGGAATGTTCATTGAAATGAGATAATTAGGGATAAAAATAGAGTAGTTAAAACAGAGTACTAGAGACCTGTACGAGTCTGTATAATCTGTACAATGTATATATTCACATACACACACACAGGTATTTCACTGAGGGTTATTGTCCAATCATACTGTCGTGGGTTAAGTGTTCATCAGAGCGACAGCCTGGGGGAAGAAACTGTCCCTGTGCCTGGTTGTCTTGGTGCACAGTGACCTGTAACGCCGTCCAGAGGGGAGGAGTTCAAACAGATTGTGTCCTGGGTGTGAGGGGTCAGCAGTGATCCTCTCCACCCTCCTTTTGACCCGTGAGGTGTACAGGTCCTCCATGGAGGGCAGGCTCACACCAATGACCTTTTCTGCAGTCCTGACTGTCTGCTGAAGTCTGTACTTGTCCTGTTTGGTTGCTGAGCCAAACCAGACAGTCATGGAGGTGCAGAGAACAGACTGGATGATTCCTCTGTAGAACTGTAGTCCTAATTCGGCTCAGTGTCTTTTCCCATTCAATGTCTTGTAACCAGTTCAGTCACTAGTTACCACTGTGTTTGATTCCTTGGGCTGGGGCTCGCCATCCAGTACTGGTGAGATGTCTGATCTTAGCTGTTGCAGAGTAGCTTCGATTTTGAATCCAACCAAAAAACCTGACCTATGGAAAGGCCAGAATACCATAATTTGATTACACTATACTAATTGGCTATAGCTAAAAGTTACTCTCAAGCACTTCAAAATTAATTTCTCATTTGTTTAAGTTGTGCAACAATAAACTTCACACGTTCAACATTAACAATTACCCTTTTTAACAGTGCATACTAAATACACTAAATTGAGGTAAAGCAGATCATAAGTGCATTGTAAATACACACTTAGCTTATTTCTTTCCAAGATTTACCAAATGCTAGAAAAGTCTGATGAAATTCCAGCAAATTCCAAGCAAAGTGCACTTTTTGTATTCCCATTACAAGCCAAACATCCATCATAACTCCTGTTATACCCCAGTTCTTTTACTGGACAGATCTGAGTAAAGAAGGAGTCAGTCTTTCTTGATTTTAATGCTGGTTTATTTACATAATATATACACAGAGCTTAATACATTTATCCGTTTTGGGCTAACCCCTTACACAGATGAAGTCCGTCCAGCAGACTCCATCTCTTATCTAGAGCTCCACATTCTTGGAGCAGCTGTGTATTACCTAGTCATAACAAAATGAAGAACTCCATGTGTGTGTATGTTGCATGCGTGATGTGTAACTGAAACATCCATTCAGACATAATTCTTACACAAGATTAATACAAGAAAACATGTCATGTCATGGCTTACTGCTAACCTTGAAACAGAGCAGACTTTGAATCTTACTAAACTGCATTACTAACACATTAAAGTCTAATAATTATCTGATTAATTAACACTCCGTTAGCACTATAGAACATTAACAAATAAATGTGTGCTAATACAACAGTTTAAACAATCACAGAACACTATTCTGTAACAAATATTCAAGTACCATTCAGGTTACAATTGAAGTATCCCATATGAACTGGCTTTAGCCTTTGTAAACGGCATTTTCAAAAGAAATTAACTGGTAGCTAGCGCGAATTAGCTCGCAGCTAGCGGTACTTAGCATCTAAGCTAGCGCATTACATGTGTAGCGGAATGATTTCGGCACATCCGTGTCGAGCCGATGCAGGGCAACACGCGCTAGCAAGGCAAAGGTGTGGGTTCCCAGGTCTCTGTTGGCTCACAGCCTTCCTTCAGCTCAATATCCGTTTTGTACGGTTTTTTTTTAAGTTTGGTGTGTCGCGACCACTTAAGTGTCTGACACAATGTCCAGAGCGCAAACAGGATGTTCGGTCTCAAGGGAGGGACAATTCACCTTATTGGTTAACGTGAGAGCATATCACATCAGCTGGTTGGTTGCTCGTATTGTCACACTGTTGTAATTACAGTGATGCTCTCACCACTTTCCAACACTACCCAATGATCTCCTAATGAACTTATTTTTTTTAACTTGTATTAGTTTTTAATCATACTGTAGAATTAGTAGTTATACAAGGTTTTATCTGCTTTTAGCACTGGGTTACACAAGGGTTTGTTAATAAAGCACATTTCATACTCAAAAGTAATATGGTGTCTATATCACATGAAAAACATTACAGATAAAAACACAGGAATGCAACGAGAATGTGGTCAGAGGATCACCAGCTTTCTGACAAACAGGAAGCAGCAGGTGAGGCTGGGGGAAACAACATCCCAGGTGTCCTCCCAGGGATGCATGCTCTCCCTCCTGTTGTTCTCCCTCCACACCAATGACTGCACCTCAGAGGATCCCTCTGTTAAACTCCTGAAGTTCACAGTTGACACAGTGGTCATCGGTCTCTTTAGGATGATGTTGTCTTTGTGGGAGGCGACACAGTCGTGGGTGAACAAGGTGTAGAGGATGGGACTGAGGACACCAGTGTTTGTAACAATGCTGGCTGAAGTCCTATTGCCAATCCTGACATTCTGGGGCCTGCCATTCAGAAAGTCCAGGAGCCAGTCACGGGGGGGGGGGGGGGGGCGGAGCCCGCGCGGGGCCACGTTCTCCATTTTCCAGGCGAGAAAGGGAATAGACAGGGCAGCCGCGATGGCATCTGGGGTGGCCCTGTTGAGCCGGTAGGCATACTGCAGGGGGTCCAGGGTGTCCGGTATACTGCTCTGAATGCGGGCTAGCACCACTCTCTCAAAACACTTCATAATGATTGGGGTGAGTGCCACTGGCCTGTAGTCGTTCAGGCAGGTGACCGGGCTCTTCTTGGGAAGGGGGACGCATTGTTTAGTGTCATTTTTACTGCTCTACTTTTCATTTTTATTCTCATTGTTATTTTCTCGGTTATTTTCTTTCTTTTGCCTAATAACGAATTGAAGAGCCTCAAATTCCTGTATGATCAAACATATCTGGCTCTGATTATGATGACTGGCAGGTGAACACAGACTCCACTACCCCCTGCTGGTCCCATCAGTGCACTGTATGATCAAATTGATTCCTCTCTTCCCTCCTCTCCTGTGTCCCTCCCAGGGTTTTGTGGTGGGGGAGAAAGCATCTCTCAGAGGGAGGTGGGATCAAGCTTCCCTGCTCCTCATCCAGAAGTCGACTAAACGCTGCCCTCAGTGTTCAGTTCCTGTGGAGAGAAATGGTAAAGACTCCCAAGGGTCAGAACCTGCTCAGATCAGTCTGTGGTCCTTCAGTTCAGGCGCTGACATTTCTTACATGTTTGTCTTAAAAACTGACCTGTGCTGGTTTCAGGTTTTGGTCCAACCTCAGTGTTGTCATGTTCAGATTGAGCCAGTGTTAAAGCAGTATCAGTGTTAACATGTTTGACCAGATTAGTCCTGGTTTAAATCTTCACTGTTCCGGTTTTATTGAGACAGAACTTTCAGATTGATTTTGCTCTTGAACTCATCAGTCCAGAGGCGGGAGCTGATCGAAGTTGATCAACTCTGAGCACATACAGTACATAGGTTTTATCTGCAGCCTGAGCCGCTCTGAACTCTGCTTTGTGTCGAGTCAGAAGAGTCTTTATTTTTGTATATATATGGATGTATATTTATATTAATATTAAGACAATCAATTTTCAGATATGAAGGGAACTGAGGTGCCACTGTTTGTGTTTCTGTCTTTATTAAACTACCACATTTCTATCATTGAGGGTGGACTAAAAAACAAACGCCTGTCACTGATTGACACGGGTTCCTCATGGCCTGGACGCTGATTGTACTGTATATGTGCATGAATGTATGTTCACATGCACGGTGTATAATAAGTGTTGTTGTGTCCCCCTGCAGGCGGCTGCATGCACATGCAGTGTCCTCTGTGCAGAGCTGAGTGGTGCTGGCTCTGCGGCGTCCCCTGGAACAGGGAGTGTATGGGAACACACTGGTTCGGGTGAAAAAGCACAGTCACACGTGTTGTTGCTCACAGTAGCTGATCAAGGGATCGAGCGCCTCATCCTGGAGACTGTGGAGCTGTTGCTCTGACATTTGGTTTTGTAGTTTAATCAAACTTCAGTGTTTGTCTTTGAGGCTTTTACAAATCTGTTCCTGACTTTCCAGACTTTACAAGTCACACGCTGTGACCCCACCTATCGCTGAGTCACCGTACACCTGTAACCAGACAAAAATTCAGGGGTTAATTCACACTATGATCCAGTGATAGTGGTCCAACATGTGCTCCTCCTTCCTGATGGGGTTCTGATTTAACCACATGAAATAAACTGACTTCAGATCAGTTTCTTTGTCACATGTTCACTTTGCTCCAGGTTAAACATCAGTGACAGAAACATCACCGCAGCCCTTTGTGACAGAAATATAACAGCAGACGTTTCATCAGAGACCGACCAGTAAAATGTCTTATGAAGGAAATATATTTTTATTTAAAAAATGATTATTAGTCTTTTTTTGGTTCAAAGTTTCTAATTCTGATCAGAAATCACTGATGAAAGCCAACATGTTTCTGTTCAGCAGCTCTGACATGTCTGATGTGTTCAGGCCAACTGTGTTATTAAATTCAGAGGTTTGGTTTCATCAAGAACCTGGAAACGATTCCTCCCTAACACATTCACAGAATAATGTTTAACCATGGTTCTGAACCCATGTTAGTCTGGTGGTTTACAACATCTGTATCAGTTGGAGTTTGTCCAGATGTTTGTGTGTGATCTCCTTTGGTACCTGATATCTATGTGATGATGAAGGCTCATCATCATCTGCAGAGAAATGTGTAGCAACAATAGTAACATCCCCAGAGTGCTCTAATTATTTCATTAGTAAAATACTAGCTGGATATACAGTGCACTGAGGTAGTACATGGGGTTTAAGTAGAACTCGTACATTTACTGTGTTTGATCAGTACACACTGCAGTAAACGTGTTGCCATGTAAAAATAGTGTTACTTTTATTTTAGAAATGTGCTTTTCAGCATCAAATGAAATAAATTCTACAGAGTTATAAGGTCAGCTGAGAAAATCATTGGCTGTCCCCTGCCCTCTCTGGAGGACATGGCTAGCACTCGTCTCAACGAGGCCAGAAACACTGCAAAGGATAATACACATCCTGCATATGATTTATTTGCTCTTCTGCCCTCTGGAAGGCGCTATAGGAGTCTAAAAAGCAGAACAAATGGACTTAAAAACAGTTTCTTTCCCTGGGCTATCAGATCTTTGAATGCAAACATATGATATGATTTTGCTCTGAACACATATTCATATTATAACCTGTGTTATTTATTTTTTATGTCTGTTATTCATTTAGTTTGTTATTATCTATTCATTAAACCGTTATCATTTGTAGCACTCTGTCATTGTGCTGCTCGTACAATGACAATAAAGCATTCAATTCAATACATTTTAATTCTCAGCATAATCTAGTGTTAATCATTAATTCATTTGGTGCCATTAGTCTTATTCAGTTAATATTCAGACGTTCGTGTTTTCAGGCAGGATCTACTTTTTCCCTTAATAGTTGTTTTTGTGGGAAGATTTGATATGAACCTGACTCCTCTGGAACCAGTTGACACATGGATGTTGTTTATGACAGAGCCCTTAATCATGTATAACTGAGACCAGATCCTGGACCTGGATCCTCCGCCCACTGATGAGATGAGTCATAAACCTTTGAGCAGCTGATAAACATCAGCGTCAGCTGGTTTTAGAGGTTTGTTTCCTACAGCTGAACTCAAAACCACAAGAGCATGGCTCAGATCCAGAGTGTTCCTGCAGAACTGCAAGGTGAAGATCCAGATACATGTAAGAGGAGGTTCTTAGATTTTTGTACTTAGAACAGGAAGTACTGGACAGCTCCAGTTCTGACAGGTCCAGCATGGCTCATGTGGTCCGGCAGGTCCATTAGCATGGAGGTCTGGAGTTCTGAGTGGGAATCAACAGAACCAGGATGAACAGGGGAACCTGAGCTGGTCTGACAGGTCTGCTGAATCCGGGAGTGGAGATGGAGATGGCAGGAAACGCCAACACAATCCAGGTGAGTTTGACTCAGAACCAGAGCTGCATCCACCTGCACTTGAGTGTTTGTTTCAGACTGCTGGGAGTCCCAGCTGGGTGGAGCTTAACACAAGCTCCTGAAAATGTTTTTAATGATTAAGAATTTTATAAAGATGTTTTTAAACAACAACCACATACGGTAACTCTGAGCAGGTGATTCTGACTAGGTATCAGTGACCAGGTGACTTGGACCAAATAATGATGACCAGGTGACTGACTAGGTATCAACCACCAGGTGACTGGCTAGGTAACGATGATTAGGTGAGGCCAAAGTTTTGTCCAGCCAATAATCCAAATAAAAATGATTAAATAAAAGGCAAAGCAGCAAAACTTCAGAAAAACTGCAATAAATATTTGTTATAGGTTCTGAGTTCATTTCTCTCAGTCACTGTGTGTGTAACTTTCCACTAGTTTAATTTAATTTATAACAAAATGTAATATTTTTAAGCATGTAATGGATTTTGTGTGTAAAATACAAAAGGTGCCTGTAGCTGTCAGACACACAGTAAAAAAAGTACTCATACCTGAAATAGGATAATGACCTTTATTGGCCAAGTATGTTACACACAAGGAATTTGTTTCCAGTACAGAACCGATGGCAGCCATCTACGGCACCACCTCAACCAATGGCTCTAACCATCGGGAGCAACTTGGGGGTTCAGTGTCTTGCCCAAGGACACTTCGACATATGGACTGCAGACACCGAAATCCCCCTCCCCTTTTAGCTCCCTGTTCAGGTCTGATTTTTAGGAGCTGCTGTCGGCGCTCCACTGTACGTCCTCGGTGGTGTCCACGGACACAGTCACACCGGGATGATGAGTTTGGCCCAGACGGAGATTTGTCTTCCAACAAGCCAATGATCCAAAACATAAAGCAAAATCTACAATGGAATGGTTCACAAATAAACATATCCAGGTGTTAGAATGGCTATGTCAAAGTCCAGACCTGAATCCAATCGATAATCTGTGGAAAGAACTGAAAACTGCTGTTCACAAATGCTCTCCATCCAACCTCACTGAGCTCGAGCTGTTTTGCAAGGAGGCATGGGCAAAAATTTCAGTCTCTCGATGTGCAAAACTGATAGAGACATACCCCAAGCGATTTACAGCTGTAATCGCAGCAAAAGGTGGCGCTACAACGTATTAACTTAAGGGGGTTGAATAATTTTGCACGCCCAATTTTTCAGTTTTTTATTTGTTAAAAAAGTTTGAAATATCCAATAAATTTCGTTCCACTTCATGATTGTGTCCCACTTGTTGTTGATTCTTCACAAAAAATTACAGTTTTATATCTTTATGTTTGAAGCCTGAAATGTGGCAAAAGGTCGCAAAGTTCAAGGGGGCCGAATACTTTCGCAAGGCACTGTATATAAAGGATGAAAAGAAAATACTCACATACAAGGGCTTTGAATATTTAAGTGTGGTAATTGAGTAAAGTTACTGCATATGAAAAGCTTTTGTTGCCCCCCCAGGGTCATCCTCAGTTCCCAGCATGCAGTCTGTCTCGGGGCTGCTGTACAGTCTCCACTCTGGTGGATGAGTACGCTGCCATAGTGATGGTGGACGCCGTTAGGGCTCCTCTGTTGTGTGGCACAGTTCTGGCTGCGTTCTCCAACTTGTGTGTTGACCTGCTGATATCCCTAATCACCGACACCTTCCAGAGCTCAAAAATTTTACCTGGACCTGCACCTGGAGCCGGATGCATAAAACTATATGTAGATTCATGACTACAGCTGTGCACACACATAAAGTAGACATGAGCTACAGATTCATAAGGCCACACACATGCCTGGCTCTCTCTTATAAATTTTAGCCACCGTAGACCATAAGTAAATGTAGATGTGCATATAAATGCTGTATGAACCACACATCATTAGACATGGCCAGTGAATGCAACACTGGAGAAGAAGCATTATTTCAATGAGTGTGAAATGGAGACATTGAAGATGTGTAGACAAGAAATGGTGTATTGTTTTTGTGGTCAGGACCATCTCTAAACACTCTCTCATCTAATGGCCACAGTGTCAAGTTCCTCAGGTAATTCCCAGCTGCAGTCTTCACCCACGACCATCGCACACCGCTACAGTTATTTACAAAGCCCTGTAATTTAATCACACAGGCCTACCAGTTGGCTGGTGGTGTCTCAGTCATTTAATGAAAATGAATTAATGACAGTAAGATCAGCAGTTTATAAAATCATTTACCAAAAAGTGTAACATGGAAATACAGAAAAAAAATTACGTCAAAAGCAAACGAAATAAGATTCCTGAAATACTGATCAGGCCAACATCAACGCCGCATTTAAAAACAACTTTGAGTCAAAATATTTGAACAGCTAAAAGTAATGCAACTGGCTGTTTTGTTTATGTCAAATGTATTGTCTTGACTTATTTTTCATTTCCACTTCACTACATCACACCCACCCAAATGTGTGGCAGAGGTGCGCACATTCTCTGTTTATACATACCAGTATGTGAGGGGGAAGGCGTATGCATGGTTTATACATCTGGGCCCTGGATCAACATCTGGACTGTCCACACCTGGTTCAGAAAGACACTAACTGAATGTTATAGGTTAGGGTTAGTGTGTAAACCCCTAACCCGTGATGTAGGAGGATGTACTGCTGGGTTAGACTGGTTTTAGCTATGTGCGCCTAATAAACCTACTACTGTGTGTTTCTTACAGGGTGCATGAAAACTCACAGGCTAATGCAGTGATGCAGCAGGCCACCATTATCCTACAGGTGGAGGACTCCATGCCCCTCCTCTGCCATTTCCATGACAACCAGTACATCTACAATCGCCACAAGCCACTGGTTGATGCCTTTCATGATGACATCACAACAAACTCGTGTAACCCTGACCAGATGAGCCCCATCACCGCTCAGATCAAAGTGGGTCTGAAGAAACAACTCGAGGCAAAATGTTTTTCATCTAAAGTTTAGAAACGAAAGGCAGTTTGTGTGTGTCCTGTAGGAGACTCTGGACCGCTTTCTCTCTACTAGAGTCCAGACAGACCAGGACCACCAAAACCTGAACAAACAGAACCAGGAGCTTCAGGCCATCCGAGTAGAGCTAGAGCTGCTGCAGCTGGACTCTGGTCCAGGAGCTGGTTAACAGATCTGCGTCTGAAAGGAAATGAAACCTGACAGGTCTGCGAGAACCAGCTTAGATCTTCCCACAGACATGTTGAGATTTCTAAAAATAAACAAAAACCAGGTGTACCAACATTTAGGAGACACATGGAAAAGTACAGAATCCAGGTTTTAGGCTGGTCTTCACTTCAGCATTGGATTAATTTTCCACAAAAAAAGCCTGAGTATCTCAGTCCCTCTCTGCTGGACTTTAATACATACAGCACATGTGATTTCATGTCTGTGTATGTAGATGTGTAATAAATACTGAGCAGTGAACACTGAAGATATCAGAAAAGTTTCCTTTAAATAAAATGACATAATAGTCTAAGTTCCTGTCTCTGTGAAGGCTATGTTCAGTAAACATGACAACAGTGGTTTATAATCTCAAATTCACTTTGAGTGATGGAAGTATCCTGTGCCTACTGTAGCTATGTCAAGTAGAAACACAATGTCATCTCTATGTGTAAATGTCTGAGATCTTGTCTACCTTAAATTAATCAAAAAATCTGTGCAAAATCCTTCCAAAAAATTTATTCATTAGACAATATTATATTGCAATAAACTGTTTAGACAAAGTCAATGTTGTGATACTATGTCAAAAACAGATAAACATCAAAATTATGAGCTAAAATGTTGTGATATACTCAAAGTTATTAGTTGTAAACAAAAGCTTATAAAGAATTTGGTAATCTTTTCTAAATTAAAATGATGTGATGTGATTAAAATTATGATGCACTAACAAAATTTTTTAATGGTATGTCAAATATTCACTTACTAAATCAGTAGTTTAAAAGTCTAAATTCTGTGTTTCATTAAATATTGAGCTTGTTTGTCAAAAAGAAGATGACTGCATGTCAAAACTGACAAAATAAACAAGATGCTGTTGCTCTATAAAAAAAAACCGCTTCGCCCCGCCCTCTGCTGCTCGGCCCCGCCCCCTCAGATGCTGTCCAGTTCCGCTTCTTGTAGCAGCAGCTTCACAGCAGAGGAAGGAAAGATGGCGGCGTCCGAGTCTGACAGAGATCCAACGTCCGCTTTATGTTCTGAATTCCTGAATTTCTCCGCCAAAGACACCGCGACGGTAAGCGGCTCTTCGGGCTGTCAGCCTCGCTGACTGTCATTTGTCTGGTCACTGTGTAAGTCTGAGCTCTCTCACATGACGAACGCGGTGTTTGGAGGTTAATCTGCCTCCGGCTCGACTTGTTTTTCAGTTCGGCTACGCTGAGCTATGCTAATGCTAATACTGAGGTTAGCTGCGGTGCGAGTGATATGTAAAACATCTGGATGTCAGATTAAAGCTGTCAGAAACTCTGTCAGCCTCAGCTCTCATCTTAGACACCACCTGTTGATTTTATTAAGTCGTATAGACATGTTTTTACCGTTTAAAACGTTTGCTGGATGTTGACTTAACGTTAGAACGTCTGCAGTCAAACTAACCGTCAGTGTTACAGTAGACTCAGTCACCCCCACGATCTGGGACCTCTCAGGACTTTTAAGTATAATGTCAACTTTATTTAGACATACAAACATAGTGCCTAATATCAAAGTTAGATGTCAGATTAATACAGAGTGAACAAATACTAAAATGGAATATGGACCAAATATAGACAGGTGAGGCGTTTACAGTTCTAGAGACACATCTGTAGAGGTGCATTTTACTGAATAGCCAAATGGCAGAAAATTATAAACAAAAACTGTTTGGTTAATCTTTCCAGGTTATCTTATTAATCAGAATTCAAAAACACCATTGCAGCATTATCCAAAAGTGCTATTTGAAGATGCCACGTTTGGCTTTGGGAATTTTTTTCACTGTAGCAAAAATGATCTCCAGAATCATTGAACATCAAAGTAGCTGATAGTTGTAGTTTGCCACACCTGCAGAGGTTGTCCTTTATACAACATGTGTCTGACTGTAGAGTAGTTGGTTAACAGCCAAATGAGTTTATGGAAAATATGAGGGCACATGTGTGGTAATGTTGTGGTGAGAACATTTGTAGTGGCACTATAGATTACCTTTTTATTGGGTGACAATGTTTTTGAGCACCCGTTAGCTGCTGTTAGCTTGCTGCTGTATGGGATAATAAACAGTTTTGTCTGCGGATAGATTATTAAGCATTTTCACATAAAAACAAACAAAATGCTGTCAGCAGCTCAAGCTGTAACACATCATTTAATCTGTTCATTTGCTAAAGCCGTAATAATTTATTGTCATTGTTAGTTTATCTGCTGACTATTTTATACTTTCCCACAGTCCAACATGATGTTGTCACTCCTTGTTTTTTTTCTCTTTACAACAGTCTAAAACCCAAAGACATTGTTTACTGTGGTTTCAGAAAAGCATAACGTATTCATGTATGTGGAAACATTTTTACTTAAAAATGATTCAAATGATAAATCAGTTATCAAAATGGAGCCTTATTCATTTCCTGCCACTTGACAAAGCAATCAGCTGCAGCTGTGCATGTGTATGCATGTCAGAATTCAGTTCAGTTCAGTTCAGTTCAGTTCAGTTTATTTGTATAGCACCAATTCACAATAACAGTCATCCCAGGGCATTTTACACCATTATCAGGTAAACCCAACAAATCCCCCTTGAGCAGCACTCTGCGACAGCGGGGAGGAAAAACTCCCTTTAGCAGAAGAAACCTCCGACAGACCCCGGCTCTTGGTGGGCGGCCTTCTGCCTCGACCGGTTGGGGTGAGTGGATAGAGGAGAGAGACAAGAAACGCAGCAAGATGTGACAAACACAACAACAATCAGACACTGGGCAGGTTGATGTGGCTGGTGACTGCTCATCAGAAATGTAGAGCTCCAGAGCCAGGGCAACCTGCAGAAAGGTACAGGGAGAGAGAGAGGACATCAAACCTATCCTAGAATGCATGTCAATAATTTAATTCATTTCCAATAATTTCATAGACACCACTACCTGGGCACAAACAAAGAGTCTGGTCCAGTCCAGGAAAAATATAATTTTAATCAGTTTCTAAGTTACAGTATGTCCATTCATCACATATAAATAAAGATGGGACAGGAAATGAGGTCTTCACTTTGGCTTTGTGTGAAAGTGGCTCACCTTTCACAAAAAAACAAAAAACAAGAAAGATGATGTCATTACCTGTCGCCAATGAATGCAATACATGAGTCATAAGCTGGAGCCAGTCTGCCTGGTGTTAGCTCAATGTTAGCTGGGCGTTAGCCTGGAGTTAGCTCAGTCGCAGTCTGGTGTTAGCTCGGTGTTGGCTAGGTGTATGTGGGTCAGTGTGTCAGCAGGTTAAAACAGTGACAGAGCTGATTACAAGACAGTACATCATCTTAAACCTCTCTTTGACAATAAATTTTAAATTTGACCTATTTTATATAGTGCTAGGGATTTATAGTTTTTTTTTTTTTTTTTTTTACAAATGTTCACTCATTTTGAATTTGATGCCTGCAACAAACAACATTTTATAAACATGGTAAATAAATGTGCTGCACAGGATAGATAATTGCTATACAGTTCTTTTGAAGTATTACTAAAAGTACTAAAACTTTTTTAAGCAAAAACACAAAAATGTTGTTTCCAGCCTCAGATGTGAGGGTGTGATTGTCATTTATCACAGAAACAAAAAATCTTTGACAAAACATGGAGACATCACCTCAGAAATTATGATATAGCAGGTTTAACAGTTTTTATAGACAAAACTAATCAAATAGTTGATAATGAAAATACAGTAGTTTAGTAACGGTGTTGGTTGTAGGCGAGCTGTAAAATAAATAGATTATCACTATGAATTCAGCTGTTGGACAGCGGTGGTGAACTCTGCGTTCTCCTGTGGACAACACTGCACACCTGCAGGGATGTTTCTGCAGCATTTACTCTTCTTACTGTGATGCATTGCTTTCTGTATCACAACCTCCTTTCTCCCTTTCAGTGGTGGCTGGCGGCGGCCGATCTGCAGCACGAGGTGTACCATCACTTGGCCGTCTATGTACCCAGAATACTTTGCCTGGGTCCAAGTGGGGTGGGCAGCAGCAGGGAGGAGCAGAGGGAGGAGCTGGCCTGTCAGCTGCTCCTTCTGGCTCCTCTGGAGTGGTTCTTGCTGGGGGAGGAGCCAGCAGCCCGCCTGGCTCAGCTACAGCAGAACAATCAGCCATCACCGCTGTGTGGGCACGTGTTTAAGGTCGGGGAGCCCACCTACTCCTGCAGGTAACTCACACCTGCACAGGTGACACACACCTACTCCTGCAGGTTAATGACACACGCCTGTGCAGAGGGCTTAAAGTTCTCCAGCATTGTGGTGGATTTCCACCACGGGGCCATTTTTGATTTGGACACCGGTAATTATATGTCAGTAGAAAATATTCTTGCATGTTTTTAAATGTTACATAGCAACAGTATGGCTGCATATTTATGTATACAGCCATAAGTAACACTGTTTTGTATTAACAAAGTAGACCTACTTTATTAATAAAATCCTTTGTTTACACTTTGGCTCAGTGAAGTGTCAGCTCAGTAATGCATGTGACCACAGCATATCATCGCGATCTTTGGGACTAATTTGGCCATCGTTTAACAGCAGTACATCAGTTATGCCCCATACACTGTTTAGAGACCTACAGAGGAACAAGTGTTTGAAAGAGGCCTATTTTCTTTATGGCTTGGAAAGTTGTGCTCAAACTTGGATACAATTACCAGACTATGGTTTCCAAATGAGGATGGGGTGAGTAGATGATGCATTTTTCTGCCATTTGGACCTTTCAAGTTAACACTTGAGGTTTCACAGCCAGATGTGGTGGTCCTGTCTCTCTGAAACGGGTCCCAGTATGTGCACAGCCGTCATCCATGTAGCTTGTATCCTACAGCTCGCTAGGCTGTTTTTAGCATGTTAGGCCAATATCTACACTTTGTTTTGTTTGTGCATGTAACGTTTTTTTGTTTATTTTGAGAGTATAGGTTCAAGGGTCAAGGATTTTATTATCAATTCACCATATGTGCAGGACACACAGAAAATCGAAATACTGTTTTTCTCTCACCTAGTATTGGGTGCCATAACATTTAGGAACTAAAATAGAATAAAGTAGAATTAACATAGAATAGAATAAGAACTGGATTGACCTAATTATTATAAATTTACACAGTACAGCCAATAGTCACAGCTATGACTCCAAACCGTGTACAGTCAGTGACAGTAGTGCAAACATTAATAGGAGATTGTCAGATGGTTCAGCATCACCAGGGCGTTGGTGATGAGGTGCTAATAGCATATGAGGTATACATGGACAGTACTGCAAATGACCAACAACAGCAGATATACACATAATATGACAAAAAGGGGAATGTATTGAGTTTGCGCAAACAGCAGAGGTAGTCTTTTTATATCTTTTGATGTTCTGTGGTGGGTTATGGTCCAGGGGCAGAAGGGGGGGAGGTAGTGAACAGTGTTCAGCATCCTCACAGCCTGGTGGATGAAGCTGTTTATAAGTCTGGTGGAGTCGGCCTGAAGACTCCGATACCTTCTCCCTGAAGGCAGGAGTCTGAAGTGGGAGTGTGAGGGGTGGGAGATGTCATCAGCAATGCTGATGGCTCTGCAGGTGAGGTGGGTGTTGAAGATGACATTTGATAGCATGTCAGTAACTCAATTTTTAAGTTGATCCAAAAGTTAATCTAGTAACATTAACAGAAGACCAGGAACTTATGTTATTATTAGCAGCCGGCTAACTGCAGCACTCAGAGCTACTGCCAGAAGCCAAAACCATATCAATCAAGCTGTTAATAATGGCACATGTCTCACACCATCTCAGTATCTCTTTAGTCTTCCCCACATTGAGGAAGAGGTTGTTGTCCTTAGACCACTGGACCAGTTGGCACACCTCACTCCTGTAGTTGGCTTCATCGTTGTTGGTAACGAGGCCAATTTCAGTCGTGTTATCCCCAAACTTGACAATGTGGTTGGTGCTGTAGGTTGGCACACAGTCTAGGGTCAGCAGTGTGAAGAGCGATGGGCTGAGCACACACTCCTGTGTAGCCCCTGCGCTCATTGTGATGGTTTTGGAGATGTTGCTGCTGACCCGCATATTTTCTGGCCTCCCTGTTAGAAAGTCCAGCACCCAGCTGCAGAGAGAGGTTTTGAATCCCAAGTGTCCAAGTTTTTGTGTAAGCAGCTGGGGAATGATTGTGTTGAATGCTGAACTGAAGTCTAGGAACAGCATTCACATGCAAGAGTTCTTTGAATCTAGGTGGGTGAGGGCTGGATGGAGAACAGCAGTAATGGCATCCTCTGTGGACCTGTTTGACCTGTATGCAAACTGAAATGGGTCATGAGAGGGAGGAAGGATGGACTTGACATTCTGCATGACCAGCAGAAGCACTTCATAATAACTGAAGTCAGTGCAACAGGCTGATAGTCATTGTAACTTGTAACTGGTTGAGTGGAGCTTCTTTGGAATTGGAATTATTGTGGCAGCCTTGAAACACGTGGGAACAAATGCTTGGCTCAGAGAGATGTTAAAGATGTCCGTGAGGACATCCTTGAGCTTCTTGGCACAGTCCTTTAAAACATGACCGGGTATGTTATCTGGTCCGGCTGCCTTGCATGGTGGGTTAATCCCGGAGAGGGTCTTCTTCATGCTGGCTATGGACAGACACACAGCCTGCTCACCCGGGGGAGGGGTGGTCTTCTGTGCTGGTGTGTTCTGTGTTTCAAAGTGGCCAAAGAAGTCACTGAGGCTGTTCAGCAGAGAGATGTCACTATCACAGCTCCGAGGTGGGGGTTTATAGTCTGTGAGGGTTTGGATGCCTCACCAGAGACTCTGTGCATCTCTAGTGTTGCTGAAGTGCCCAGATACTTTCTTGCTCTACTGGCGTTTTGCCTCCCTGATTCCACGGGACTGGTTGGTTCTTGCTGCTGCTAGGCCTGTGGTGTCGACGGCCCTAAAGGCTGCATCCTGAGCCTTCAAGAGTCTGTGAACCTCACCTGTCATCCATGGCTTCTGGTTGGCACGAACACTGATATTTTTGCAGTACATGACATCATCAATGTACTTTGTGATGTATGCTGTGATGGCCTCAGTGTATTCCTTTATGTCTATGTGATTGTTGTGAGTGGCTGCTTGTTTGAAAATGTCCCAGTCTATAGTGTCAAAACAATCCTTCGGAGCATAAGAAGCCCCCTCTGGCCACACGTACCTCCTTTTGTGTTGGTCTGATGGCTTTCACTCTGGGTCTGTATGTGAGTCTCAGCATGATGGTGATGTGATCAGAGAGACCCAGGTGGGGGAGGGGGGAGGCTTTGTATGCTCCCTTGCATACACAAAGTCCAATGTGTTGTCTCCTCTTGTTGGAAAGTCCACATGTTGGTGCAGATTGGGCAGTAAAACCTTTAAATCCATGTGATTGAAGACCCCAGCTGTGATGAGGAATCCATCTGGGTGCACTGTGTGTTGTTTACTGACGGCCTGGTAAAGTTCATTTAGTGCCTCGCTCCTATCGCTGGTGTTAGCGGTGGGAGGAATGTACACACCTATCAACAGAATTACTGAGTACTCCCTACATAAATAGAAAGGCCGACACTTGATGATAATACTCCGTATCAAAAGAATTTCCAAAGAAGCAACAAAGTCACTGGAATCTTTTAATAAGAGATTGGTTAACTTGCAGCAAGCAGACAAGTCAGCATAGGCACACAGAGTTGTCTGAATAAGCTAGTCTAAACATCACAATATAGGACAAACGGAACTCCCTAAAGCAGGGGTCTCAAACTCCTGGCCCGTGGTCCACTTCCGGCCTGCAGACCCCCTATTTCCAGCCCGCAACCTGATGTCAAAATAGTAATGTAACTCGGGCCTTGAGGTTATATTTTGTTATTTCGTTTTATCCCCACAATAACCACTTATTGTGAAAATTAAGTATTTGTAATTATTTATAATTTTTTCATAAAAAACACATTTATTTTGAAAATGGTAAATACGGAACAAAAGTTTTTAAGCAAACAGGAAGCGCAGGTCCGGAGCCGTACAGTGTGGCGCTGCTTCCAGAGCATGCGGCAGAAAAAATAAGGAGATGAAAAAGAAGTAGCGCGGAAGGTATGTCACTTTCAAAATCAAAAAGAAAAGTCGACAGTGAGCACAGACAGTTTCAAGAAAAGTGGACATTGCAGTATTTTTTTGTTGAGTTAGGTGGAAATGCAATCTGCCTAATTTGTAAAGAGAAACTCGCCATTCTTAAGGAATATAATATCCCAGAGCTGACCAAAGTTTTCAGTCATGTAATGTGCCTTTTTGGAAGTACATATCTGTGTGAGAAATTGTTCTCTACAATGAACTTTAATAAAAGCAAATACAGGTCTAGGCTTACAGATGCCCATCTTCAAGGTGTACTCAGAGTCTCAACTGCAATGTCCATTAGACCAAATGTGGCTCAGCTATGTCAGCAGAAGCGCTGCCAAGTATCAGGAAGGAAATAAAGCTCAGGGATGGGTGGGTGCAATAGGATGCAATAAAAAGTGAAGTTAAATGCTGTTTTTTTTTTCTTGTTTAACATTATACTGTTAATGTTTCAGATTTTAATATGAAGACAAGTTGCAAAGTTGTCAGTTGTGTTGTAAAATAGTGTTCTGGAATTTCATTCAATTCTTTCAGTTCAGTGCAATGTTTAAATAAGAGGAAAAAGTTTGCCTTGCCTTTGGTGTGAAAACATGCAAATATATGCATATTTTTTATTTTTGTCACAATTTTATTTATATATACAGGTTGCTAGCACAGGTGTCTTAAGTGTTAAAATACATGTGTTCAAGATATTTGCAGTTTATTCATTAAAATGTTATTCATTTAAACGTTACCAATACCAAATATTTGCATTAGCTATTTTGTATTATTAAAAGCACATTTTCAAAAATATGTTATCTTTTGTATTACTCGAACACTGATGTGGCCCTCCAGTGAGCTGACGGTGGCAGTGGTGGCCCCCAGCTCATTTGAGTTTGAGACCCCTGGCCTAAGGTTACTGCATGTCCGGGAATGTTCATGTACAGGGACTCGCTGTTTTACCTGACCAGGTCTAAACTACAAGCAGCCAGCCTGTGAACCCCTCTGCGGTGGAGAATGATCAGCTCATCAATGCTGGATTCCCCCAAGAGCACAGTACCCATTTATCTAAGATGACAATTCACCGTTGTAAAATTGTAGATAAGTCAGCAAACAAGATAAAGCATGCCATGGGGTCTATAACTGAAGAACATATAAATCTTGGGTACCTCTAGATTATTTTGGCATCCCTCATAACTCCAAATATGTAATTATTTCAGAATGATAAAACCAGAGAGCCTCTTCCTAAAAATAGTTTTAGACAGTTTAATAGTTTGTGAACATGCACACCTCCTGCTCCCAGTGTTGTGTAGAAAGTAGGCATCATGACAAATGGCAATGGCATTAATTAATTAGAAATTCTTCTCCATAAATAGGTAATTGTTATATGTAACAATGAAAAGAGATGTGTAACACTCTAAACAAAGCAAGTACTTGAGAAACCCCATATTTTAACTGGCATAATGCAGACATAGCAACTTCTCCAGCCTTACAACAATTCTCTCTAACATTACAGAAACAAGTAATTAACAGACATGCAACGCGTTTTTAAAACTTACCGTTAAGTCCCACCAAGTAGTGGAAACATCACTCCTTTTCAAGTAGCTCCAAGGTTGGTAAATCCAACCCGTGGTGCTGCGTCTTCCC